GAATAATTTATGACGAATAATGAATTATTCGAATAAATAAATAGAATAATTTATGACGAATAATGAATTATTCAAATAAAATAGTCGAGCGAAAGGAATTCATTCGGATAGTCATCTTAGATGAATATTTATTCGAAACAATCCGAATAATGCCCAACTTTGCTTTTGCTCTGATAGATTGACCTGTCCAGTAAATGAACATTTAAGATGCATGTTTGCTGAAACGATCGCTATTTATTCTTATAAATGATATTGTCTAAGTTCTTATATCTAATAGCCGAACAATGAAATGCAAGGATTTTAAAATGACTATTTAATCGTGCATGTACCTTGATCTATGGCAGTAGTAATTTCAACAGAATGCTTGACCCATAGAATTAGAGTTTTTTAAAAATACTGAAGCGAGCTTCGTCTGACCAACGCAAAATTCCTGAATCTTGTGAAAACATACACTGTTCTAAACTAACGATTCGCCCGATTGTCTTCATTCGGTGTCTACCGAGAAATATTTGACATTACATTTACATTATTTCACTCTCGAGACACCGAGAAAATCACTTTGATATGCAAAAGTATGAGTTCGGTATAAAAAAAAAAAGAAAAAGCTGGGCATGACCTGCAAAAAGATGAAACCCCAGTGCAAACCTGTACAAATGTAAAACAATACCCTCGCCCAGTCGTACGAAAGAATCGACAGTCCTTGTACCACACCGATTTCCCAGCTATTTCATCGAATAGCAATTGCTGTTGCAAATGCATCAAGAATCGCAGCCTGTGGAGCGCGTCTCGCCGGTTGGCACGGCACTAAAGCGGCAGATTATGGAAAAGTTTTAGGCAGGCGTTAAATAGTACTAAGCTTAAGGAACGTGTACCTTATCTGGACAATGATTTACGCGCGAGCAAACAGCTCCGTCCGCAGGGGCCAAGGAGCTCGTCGCCACTTTAATAGCGTGGTAATCCGTCGCGTATCCGTGGCGCGTTTGCTGCGCGGAGCACGGCGCAGAAAACACCGTGTATCGTTAAGGATTGTTATCCGGCGGGCCCGGCCTGTCAGCCGCGAAAATTCGGATCCGCGCGAATTTTACAGCCCCGGCACTTAATCACTCAGAATCAGGTAGGCAGCCGCGACAACGGTTGACAGGACGCGGGATCGCGAGCAAAATCGGCTGACAAACAGGTAAACACCGGCGAAAAACGGAGGTGAAGAAACGGGCCCAGGCCGCGCGCGCGGCTTATCTGACAACATCGCGGTGTAATTCGAGGCCTGATTTACGCCCGATTTATTATTGCCAAATGACGCAGTTAGGCACCGTCGGAGCTGCTCATCCGCTGGGCTGTCTGTAGTAAATCAATCGCGTTCGCCTAAGATCTGATCAAATATCCTCGAGTATGGATCCCCGGCGTCGTCGGGGCTCTAGAGCCTCCAGTTTTCCGTAACAAGGAGGTTCTTAATAGATTAGAGCCCAGGGACGATCGATTCAGCAGCCTTCGGTCCGTTCGAACGCTGATCGGGCCACCCGGATTTTCGAAGACCGTTCGTCCACTTCGCGATTACAATGCCAGCTCGCGCGGTTCTTTTTTTTCTTCCAAATCGGCGACGATGCGTTCTATTAGCGCGTTTTGATACGCTATATATATAGGTGTGTACTCGTCTTATCGTTGAACACTTACATTGTGCCTATGGCACGTGATAAGAGTGACAGCAACCTAATATGCAAGTTAGCGATCGCAAAAGCTCATTATAAATTGTTATAAATGCGAAACTGATACGCACAGAACGCGGCTCCGCGCGCTGAATTTGCGTAACACGATCTGTACGAAAGCGGTTGTTGTTGAAACGATTGAATTGTTTTACCTCCAGCGACTTATGGTTATTTGTTGGCTCCGGGGCTTCTTGCGTTTATGGTGCACGCGAGATTTCGAGATTTAAAGAAACGAGTAGGTTGGCAACAATTATGTGGGTGGAATTTTTTCGTCGATGCAAGCGCTTCGCTTTCGCGAACTTTTATGAGATAGTTCGTGTAACGGGGATTCGCATGAAATGGTTGTTTGGAGGTTGTTTTTAGGGGTGTATATAAGTTCGTAAAATATAAGATGATAACAAAAATTATAATAGGACCTCGATCATCCGAACTTTCGACGTCTGGACTTACTGTTATTCAAATCGGTTTGAGATAACTTAATCGGATAATCGTAATTTTGTTTCTCCTTTTTAATCGATTAGAGGGTTAATGCTAATTTTTGTAAAATAACGTATGATTATGAAGAATTGCAGAAAGATCCGCAGTTTAATTATTACATTGCGTTAGTCCGAACAATTTCGCAGATATATATATAATCGTTGTCTCTTTCAGACAATTCATTAAAAAATTCTCAAACACATTGACTTTAAAAGGACTATTAATTGGAGCTATTAAAATCGCAACAACGTTTTACAAGCACACAGGATGCATTTGTATAAAATTTTGCCGTTTCGATGTCTGCGAACTTCGTGGTTTGTCGAAGTCTTGCTCTTATCGATTGATATCACCAGGAAATCGTTTCTCGAATTTCGTGGCGCGGTTTCGAAAGGAGGAATTGTAATTTATTCGTCGAGTTATTCGTTCAGACATCGGCGGAAACTGATACGCCGAGACACGGCGATCAACGAACGTTATCTTCGATCCATATTTGATCAAAATTCAGCAGCACCGTCTAACGAATGTATATGTAGGGTTTATCTGTTAATACAGAATCGTCGAAGTTCTACACGAGAATGATACCACAACGGTTCCGTTACAAAAGTTCGTAATTTACAATTCCTCGCGAATCCCACCAATTCAATAGCATCGCGGCTCGTCGGGATTCCGTTCTATTTTTGAAGTTAAAACTGACTCTACCAAAACACTGGTTAATCTTCTTCGCTTAATGCCTTTATAGAACGCTCGTCAGTTACTTATTCCCAATAGCCACTGTAAACGAAGCTGACTGGCGTGCTCGGAGATAAACGGATGGCACGGGGTTTAAATGGCATTTCAAATTAAGGAATTCTTTTGACAAATTCTTGATAACTCCTTGCCGGTGATATCCGAACGCTATTGGAACAGAATCGCGAAATTTCTCACGTTTCCAGGTTGCAATTAATCTGGCAACTAAAATCTTTTATTGTCCCTTGCGGTTTCTACGAAATGTTCGACGCTGTCAGATTTTTGGAATATTGCAAATTAGCGGTGGTACTTTTATTAGCTGAATCGTGTGATTATAAAAGCTTAGTCTTCACGTCCGCATAAACTGAAAATGGCAAAATAGCAAACTCGTGTAGCTTCTTCTCATTCGTGGATCATTTTAATAAATCATCGAGATGCTATAGAAAGTTTGCTGCCTCTCCTTTTATAAACGAATTCGAAGACACTTAAACTGATGAAACTTTCGTTTTTGTTAATTTATTATTTCTTATAGTTCTTAGAGCAAAATTGTTAACTTGAGTCGTTACACAGTTACACGTTATGCTTGTTTATATCTTATATATATTATATAAAATATTGTATTAGATATATTATTTATATTATATATATATTACAGAATTTATATCTTCTATTATATTTGTATCTATTTGAATCCATTGGAAGAAGAAATACATATTTGTCGAACTTTTGCTCTGTAGAATTAATGCAGACGATTTCGATGTTGCATAAAAGCCTACGGTATAGTAATAATAATCCTCGCCAAACTATACTTTCTACTTAGAATCAACAGATTGTATTTCACTTCCAATTCCACGGTTGACAGGAGTACATTACGACTACACAAATAAGAAGAAATGAGATATAATACATTCGTGTCAGTAGAAAAAGTCTGGGTACACCTTTTAAAACAGAATAATTTCCCTAAAATAGGATCAAGCGACTTGGTCTTTTTTAGAGATCCTCGTAGAACTAGTTTACTAGACAATGAATACAAAAATTTATGCAAAAAATTGCGATTTGTTGGAACGACGAAAAACAAGCCTGACTGTTTTTCACGTAAAAAGCACTTTTTGAGATCTAAGATTACGCGAACATAGAACCTATCAAATACTGATAAAATTTTGTTCGAAACATTTTTCGAAGGATGCTTGAACGCCTAAACAATGATGACGAAACTGAACGGGGCCCATCCTGTACATCGAAATATCAGAAACCAAGGGAATGGGCAAGCTTGCCAACGCGCGAGTTGTCAACGAAACGGTGTTTGTACGGGTTGATATTGGTCGTAACAAAACGGCTGTAATTTTCAAGCACGAATTCCGCGTATCAAGGCTTCCAAAATCGATCGGCCCTGTTACCTGGCTGTACGGGCGCGTAGTTCTCGGCGAATGATCGACAGATTAAGTCATATGCATTCGAGGAGCCGGTTCTCTATCACAGCCGTTCGCCATTAGCCGACAGGCCGAAACTCGAGAAGGAAACGACTGTCAGGGAAAATTGGTAATCATAGACCACCGCGAGCAGCATTAAAGTTCGGGGATGGGCAAGTACAGTAGGATCTTCAAAGAGAGTGCACTTAGATAATGCCCGCCCGTAGGGGGTGGGGCGCCCCTTCACCCTTCTCCTTCTTCCGATATCGAGGGGGCTTTTGATGAAGGCCGCGAATTTGGTTGAGTAAAGGGTAATCCTATCATACGCTATGAGATCTTCATTGCTGTCGAAAGGGTACGCCCCTGCTGCCCTTACATGGACATCATACGGTGCCGTTTCGATCTTCGGAGAAATCAAATCAACCGGATCCTCCTTCGGCATCGTCTTGTCCATCGACGACAAAAAGACAAAAACTATCGCTGTTTCCGAAAGCATCGAAACCGAAAATTCCAAATTCCACCGACCGTCGTTAATTATACGACTGCGAATATTTTCGCGTGAATTATTATTAACAGAAGTCGCATTAAAATTACCTTTCTCTCTTTTACGATTTTAACAAGTTCGAAACAACGTATCGCTAGAGCTACTAATTATTTAACGCTAATAGCTGAAAGTGGTAACACGTATTACTTCGTAACTCTACATAAATAATATATTTATCTAGACCTTTCGCAATTTTTGTTATTTATTTATTTATTTATTTAACATCGACCGGCCAGATGTCCGTTTAATTTCCCTCGAAAACACCAGGTGAAAATTGAAAACACGAAATCGAAAGCTTTATTTAGCATGAACAATGTGTAGCTGCTTCGCTTACTTCAACGCTTTGTTGCAAATCATCGATTTAAAAATAGCTACAATATTGAACAAGCAGAAGTGAGCAAGAGATATTTAATTTCAATTAAATTAATGCACACAATTAATAAAGCGAATACGGATATCAGCGTTTATACAAGAAAGTACTACTACAACGGAGCGTTCATTTGATTTAACCAATATTGTTGATTGGACCGTGGTTCACTATGTGACGAAATTATTAATGCAAGTATCATGCACACGACTACACCGAAGTTTACTGTCTTTCGTACGTACAAGCGTTATATTACAAATATTAATTATATTATAAATATTACAAATTCATTTTTGTATTGCAATCAATTGAATTGTTAGTTCGCAAAATTAACCCTTCGCACTCGACGCCGTTTTAACTCTAAATCTGAAATAATCATTTTAATCTACGGTATTTTCATTTTATTCATTTCATTTCATTTTATCGAGTCTTCTAACTTGCACAACAATTACACTTTTTACAGTTTCTTTAAATATAAATCAAAATGTAAAAGTTATTTTGAAACGTGATATCAACATTTTTTGTAGTATATAGATAGAGGGGGGAAGGGCCTAAAATAATAAAATAAGAAAGAACGTCCGCTGCAGTCTCGTAAATAAAGACGGTTTAATTATCTGGAGATGTATTTGGTAATCTGGGGTCTAGAAATGTCATCGCGGTGACTCCAAACCGAGAGAACATTTATTTAAGACGAAGATCAGCGACCTCCGAGCAAGAATCCGGCGAAGATTACCGCAGTGGTTTTCGAAGGAGGAACAAGTGCGCTGGCCGGAGGACTTCTTAATGAGATTAGGTGTCCCGACGACAAACACTCCCTGGCTAGATTTACATTTTATACATTTTTAAGCGGTCTTAGAGCGAAGTCCTCCTCGCTCCCTGATCTCGAATCCTACTTGAACTTCGCGTTTTATCTTCATCGCTCATCCTCGCTTCCGCGTTAAACATCGGTCACTCTCGAATTGCGAGTCGCGACCGGTTTACCCCATTTACATACACGCATAAATTTTGCAAAAGATAATGTGACACACGCTGACGGTCGATGTACTAATATTTTTGAGAATTTTCTCGAAACTTTAAAGTGAAAATCCTAGCTGCGAGAAAGCGAAAAACCCCGTGAATACAGATTTCATATAAAAGTTGAAAGAGCACATTCACCACAATTTTTATAGCGACAACACGTTGTCGCGACAGCGGTTTTAACATTATTTTCAGTTTTTTCGATTCGGCAAGCCGGTAACCAATGATTTTATCACGAACGAGACGTTCGTTTATGCGTTTTATTTATGCAATTATAATTCTCTCAGATTCGCGATCGCGTGAAAATTATGGAGATTTTTCCCTTGGAAATTCCGCGGAGTTTTCCGCGAGCGAAAAAAATGCTGCCGGATTTCGCTGTACACGCGTATAAACTGGCATTCTTCCGCTAAAAACGTTTTAATACCAAACTATGGTTGACGTATAAATGTTCAACGTCGTACTAAGCTCCTCTGTCGAAATTCGTTGATTTTCATCAACTAAACTGTGCAGAATGTCTTCATCAATAACTGAAAGCCATCCACGGCGTGGCTTATCGCTCAGATTAAAATCGCCGCGTTTAAAATTTAGCGAATCATTTTTCGCAGACGATAAATATAGCCCAATATTTCCATATTTCTTCCGTTAGAAAGCTTGCGCATTGTTGCGACCGACAAACGGCATAGTTAAATTTGTATTGTAATTTAGTGATTCTCTAGCAATAAGACGTATTTAATAATTAGCAGCAGTATAAAATGGAATTGTGTCAGCAACATGCCAATTTTACATACTCGCGCGGCTATTAAAATTATCGCTGATGTAAGCAACATTGATTAAACGAAGGAACAATTTAATTTAATTTTCTGTTGTCTATAAAATTCAAGTATGTTTGTTTTAATAAAAGTTAGCATAAGCATATTAGTTGAACATATTTGAATGTAGTATATGTTACACACAAAACAATATTAATTAAAATGTTATAAGGCAGAAGATTTCGAATATTTGCCCCTTAATGTTTCCAACAATGTAAAAATAATATAATAATACAATACATTCCAACTGACTGAATGTTCGCATTTTGTGTAAAACGCGAACGAGTTGAAATATCATCCGCTATAATAAATTTTCATTGCCTAGTTCCAATTTCAGTAATTAAATTTCTTTGATTTTTTGCTTCTGTTGGAATTTTTGGGATCCGATTTCCGACAATTGGATTTCCGACATTTGAGAATACTTCTTGTCAGAGTCAGTGGACGGGCAAATGGAGAAAAAGTTCGTGAGAAGACTCACCTCGTCCAAAGGGCAACCAGCAGACACCAAAAGCGCGTGGCTGTGCAGCAACAGCAATCTCAGCAGCTTGTTTCTGACCTCCGCTGCTGGACTAGGCGGTGGCGGTCTCGATCTGTACACTTGGATCTTCAATGTCGCGACCGAGGTCAACTCGGCTAAAATGTCGCCGACCGTTAACAACGGACCATCCGCGACCTTCTCCATTGGCAGTGGTTTCCAGTTCCTTATGACGATGCTTCCCCTGGCGCTCGGTATCAGGTCGCTTGAGTAGCCCAGGCGCACCAGTGCCTCGCCAACTAAATCCTAGAAAACGTAGACGACCATCATTCGTTGAACAATAGAAGTGACAATTTCAGAAAAGTTTTATCTCGTTGAGGAAAACGTGAGTTCTTTTTATCAGTAAAATTTAAAAGAAGTATCATAGTCATTATCTAGTAGACTGGTCCCTCTATTATAATTATAATTATTATAACTATTAATTATTATAATAATTATAATTATAATAAGATTTCCCCTCGCTATAAAAACCAAAAGAAATATTATAGTCGTAATTAGTATTATTATAACTATGATAATTATTATTATTGTTATAATTGTTATTATTATAATTATTATTATTAATTACCGACTGTCAGCAACTATAAAAACGAGACGCAAGGCTCGAATAATCGTATCTCCTCAATTAGGGAGAATTTACTGTATGTGCTCGCGACTGATATGATCTGTGCATTGCGAATCTTTATGCAAATTCTTATTTTCGTGTATCTTTTTATGAAAATCTGGAGGAGGAGAGAATTTAGAGTTGTAAACGTATAATAATAATAATACAATAAATCTTTGTTAATATCGCTAGCTGTTTTTTTGTTCTAAATTGCTAGAAATTGTTTGCAGAACGTCATACAAAACCAGAATATCCCCCCAATGTAGAAATAATATGTATTTACTTGGAAAGGCATGGCCACAGGGATGATCACATACGAATCCGTCTCTACTTGAGGCCTCCGCCAATTCTCACGGGAGTTGCTCACATGACTCTCGACGATGTTGTGAATAGTCTCGACCACACAATGCACTGGGATATTCTTTCCTGTAACAATTATACACACCAATTAGGCGTTTCAACAAATTATTTTCCCATTACAGTATTCGATACTTTCTTATTAATCTTTGTAATCCATCGTTCGCCAAATCCCATCGTTCGAGAACAACGGAGCACTGCAATGTTGCAGTTTGCAATGTACTCTTATTGACTAACTGCATAAGAAAACAAAGTCAATATTTTCATGAGCATAATTAAAAATGAGCGTCTATAGTATTTTATAGTATTCACGAAGGTCTAGAAGGTCTAGACTCAAAAATGCTTTATTAAAAAATTATAAGAAAAATGGGAAAATTAACAACGGACCGATCTTCGTTCGATGTAAAAGTTATGTTAGCGGCATTTCTCTTATCTGTATTTACATATGTTTGCTAATCCGTTCAATTTTACATAGACGTCACTGCTGTATTTTCAAAAACCGGCGGATTTCAGGCCATTGTGCGAAGCGGCAAAGAATCAAGCCAGTTCCGGTTTCGCGCAGATTCGACTGACAATAGCAGCCGCACGCTTTCGCATTTCGGGATTTGAATTCGAGGGTCCAGATGATTCGTGAGGCTGAAGATCGTTGAGAGAAGTTTAACTCCCGCGCTAAGCATATGCAGATCCACTCGTCTATCCCGAGACAATAAGAGCTGGGCGATGGCACAATAGCTGCGATCCTTGTGTAACCCTGACTTAAGTCCCGGAGTCTATCCCACTCCAGGTTATAATCCCAGACTTCTGCGAAACCGAGGAAATGGAGAACCAGAGGAGGCGAGGAAAGAAGAAGAAGGAGGGTAAACTTGCTTTCACCGATTCCATTCGGTATACAAGGTAATACTTATTAAGAAAACCGAAAATCTCGGTCTCCGTTGCAATTAGTGGAAAACAAAACCTCGTCCGATTTGCAGGAACCCCAAATAAAGGGAAGCACCCTCGTATTACGTGACTAATATGTACATTCACGTTCCATGGAATGACGTCACAGAATGTGCGAGAATTTTAGTTCATTTCTTCTTGGAACGATCGTATCGCCAAGTCAAATTTATTGAAATGGTGAAATGTGTTCGTGGAGAGCACGTGTGGAGAATCCATGCGAAAAGGGGGCAAGCGACGATCTTTCTAAGAAAACGAAAATGGATTTTCCAATCCACAATTTCACAACTTCATATTTCTTGGTTTATCAAGATCATTGTTTCATTCTTCATTTGACGCTGCTGCGTCGCTTTTAATGGTTGCTTAATATAAATATTTTTTAATAGCTACTGCACGACACACGTGGTTAACTTTAATAAGAGGAGAGCATTTTGAGTAAAATATAAACCGAGATATTGTGGCGAGTGAAATAAAATTGCTAATCAAAATATCGATAATTTCATCATCTGAAAATTTAATTTCGTTGCCTTCGAGCAACGAAATTATTCGTCATCGGACTGTGCATTTCGCGCATTTAAGAGTAAACAAATTTAGAATAAAGTTGTTACAGTATTTTCCATTGATTCAAAATATCGGAGAGCAAATCAATTTCTATTCAACTGCCGGAATTGTATGTCGCAAAAATATCGTTCGATACGCGGTGTAATCGACCAACGTCGAAGACTTCGCAAATGAATTTCGGCGCGCGAACAAAAGGTGAAGTGTGAATCGCGGTAGGAAAACATAATCATGAAACTTCTAATCTGGTCCGGGCGTGTGTCAAAAGGGTTTATGCGTTCTATCGTAAACCCTTGAAGGACGTTATCGATGCTAGGCGATGTAAGGTGCTAAGTCTCCCAGCAAGATGACCAACAAAGGATTTACTGCCGGTGGCACGATATTAGGTATTAATGCCCTAAACTTCCATCTAATACGCTGGTCACCATAGAATCCGCCCCCATGGTTGCGCAAGACAGGTCGTGCCTAGGAAGACCGAAGGCTGACCAGTGCCCACCTTAATCCAGAGACGTATAGTTTTCATTAAGGTGGCCCGACCTGGCATCGTCTCTGTACCGGGATCAGCTGGTTCAAGGCAGGCTTTTACTCCGCAGATTTGCCCACAGGAAACCGTATTATGCGGTCTGTTTATTAGCGACCTTCCCTGATGCGCAAAGATCCCTTCGGTGACCTGCCGCCATATTGTCAGTCTTCTGGTGGCAACTTTCTACCTGCCGAAAATCTTCTTCTCTTTGATTACGTTGCATGCGATGACTATGCTCGGTCACAGATGCTCCGATCCAATTACCATTGTGGCTAGTTATTTATTTATTTATTTATTTATTTATTTATTTATTTATTTATTTACTTATTTATTTATTTATTTACTTATTTACTTATTTATTTACTTATTTATTTATTTACTTATTTATTTATTTACTTATTTACTTATTTATTTATTTATTTATTGCAGCAAGATTTAAATTCTAGGTTATGGCTCATTCGAGTGTTATTGACAGAAATTATTCAATGAATTCGCATTTTTGTAATAATATAACATCTATATAATAAAATATAAGATCTATTCGGTTATCAATATAACATGTATTCTTCGAATAATATAATTGAGAAAGGGTTGTCTGAATGATTCGTTACTTTATATGGTTATAGAGATGATGTTTCT